TTAACATACGTCACGCACTCCGTTGCTCTTATTGGTTGTAGGTCTATCCAATTGAGTGCAGAGGCATTTTTTTTCCTGGTTCGTTCGAAACACGCCCCATAATCACAGCTCTATGGAGCAGTATCAGACTCATATTCTGACTAGAATTGAGTCGGACTACGTCAGGCTAGCTCTATATAGTGATTGAGGGATCTATGGGCTAGTGCGGACATTCGGACACAGCCAAGCCTTGGCCACCAGACTGAAGAGGTACATAGAAGAGATGAATGCCAGAACAATAAAAAGGGTGTTCTTCACTCAACCACCTGAGGTTTAATAAGAGTAACAGGGTAATAACACATGAGCCAACCCACCAAGGCCGGAGACTGAACTCCTGTTCGTCCGTCAATACGACGAGGACCATCCATTCATCCTATGGTGGTTGGGGAAGTTAGAGTCTATGAGTACGCAGGTTGCTGCTCAGGCCAATCTGTGCACAGAAAATCTTGGGCAATGCGGACAGGGAATAGTGGCGTCTGGTGCAGGATTGGCAGCTCTGATCTTCCTGGCTTGCCTACGCTCTACAGCCAGAGCGATCCGGTTTACCTCGCAAGCTTTGGCACCTTTTTGGACAGTGGATCGCCACATTCCTCTGACTAGCGCTGCCTGCTCCCATGTGTTGTGGTCGATGTTGAAGGCCTTCAACGAGGCTTTGAGCGTGTCCTTGAAGCGCTTCTTTTTTCCACCTAGGGAGCGCTTTCCTTGCTGTAGCTTGCCAAACAGCAGTTTCTTTGGGATGCGGTCATCAGACATGCGAGCTACGTGTCCTGCCCAACGAAGCTGGGACTGCATCAGGATGGTGTAGATGCTGGGCAGGTCAGCACGGGTGAGTACCTCGGTGTCTTGGATCTTATCTTGCCACTTTATACCCAGAAGTTTCCTGAGGCAGGTGGTGTGAAAGTGGTTCAGCTTCTTGGCATGATGCTGATAGACTGTCCATGTTTCACAGCCATTGAGTAGTGTGCTGAGAACAACAGCCAGGGACACCTTGATCTTTGTCTCTGTTGTGATCCCTCTCCTGTACCAAATGTTCTTGCGTAGTCTGCCAAAGGCGGCACTCGCTTTAGCAAGTTCAGTCTTTGCTCGTTGATGAAGATGTTAGGCTCCACGTATGGTTTCCCAGGAGCTGGCTGATGCATTACCTTAGTCTTCTTCGTGCTGATGGTAAGGCCAAAGTTATTGCAGGCATCAGAGAACTTGTCAATGCTGTGTTGCATGCTTGCCTCTGAAACAGCGTTAAGGGCACAGTTATCGGCAAACAGGAAGTCACTGATGGTGTCCGTAACAACCTTGGTTTTTGCTTCAAGCCTCCTGAGGTTGAAGACGGTACGGTCCGGTACTTGATGACGATGCCTGTGTCAGTATTTCTGAATGCATCAGTCAGCATGGCTGAAAACATAAGGCTGAACAGGGTGGGAGCAAGGACACAACCTTGTTTCAGTCCATTTGTAACAGGGAAGGGATCAGAGGCATCTCCGTTGTTGCCAGCATGTCATCATGTAGTTGTCAAACGATGGCGATAAACTTTCTGCGGCATCCGTACTTCGCCATGATTTTCCAAAGGCCTTCTCTACTAACAGTATCAAAAGCCTTGGTGAGATCGACATAGGTGGAGTAGAGGTCGGTGTTCTGTTCCTGACACTTCTCCTGATAGCGATTCGGTCACTCCCCCTCTGCCCGAATAGCCATCATCAATACTTTGAAGCATTTCTGAAGCCTGTTTTGCTGTTAATTTCTTCTGAAAGCCATTTTTCCGGCTTTGACAAAGAGTTCTTGGTAGAATGTTGGTTGCTAGACAATGGTACCAAACGTCAATCCATCACAGCAAGAATTTACAATGCAGCTAATAGAGCTGTCAAAATGAAGGCTGTGGAAGATCGAGGTAAAATTAAACATATTTATTTTTCCTTTATTTTATTTATAAACTACATGAAAAAAAGGAAATATGGTAACAGGAAAAATCTGTTAACATGATCAACAAATGATTAATGTAAATAAAGTATTTTATAAGTTTCATAACCTATGGTGTGCCCACACGTGTAGCTCAGCCCTTCTATTTTGGTCACATGAGAAGAGCAGCCATTTTGTTTTAGTTTTACGACCCCCAGTGTTTTTCTAGTTACTCCACCTCCTTTGACTGGATGGTAGGGATCCGCCATTTTATGATATTATGACTCTTTGTCGGGGTACAGCCCCCCTCCAGCTGGGTTTTAGATTAATGTAGGCTAGGTGATATGTTACAATTAGGGTGGCCAGATGTCCAGCTTTAGGGCGGATAGTCCGGATTTTCATTGCACTGTCCGGCGTCTGTCTGGCGTCTGCAGCACAATATCCAATCATGTGCACAAGTGCATCACTATCCGATCTAACAGATGATTGGCTAAGAGTGGCGGCGTGTCAGATAAAGATCTGCTTGTCATTGGTTACAAAAGTAAAGAATGTTTAGAATTACTGATGCTAAGTATTAAAGTTAGCGTCAACACCACAATGTATTAAATAAATACAAATGCTAAGAACCAATTATTTTTTTACATCTCTTTAATATTTTGTTCTATTCATCTACACAAGCATCCTCTTTAAACTACTAAGAATTGTACTATAAATGTGACTTTACCCGATTCTTATGTACACCTTAGTAATTTATTGATATGCCGCACGATGTCCTCCTTTTTGGTGCTATAGAAATGGGTGCCCTAGTTACAATGCCATATTGTTTATGCATTTGTGAACCATTAACCATTGTAAGCTGAATGAAATAACACTGTTTTTAAATGCACCTATTATTATTCATATATATATGCTGCTATTTTGAATGGACATTATTGAATGCATTGACATTTGACCTAACTTGGACACTCCCTAAGAAATAATTTAAACTGACTCTTAGACCCCATTTTCCCCTTTTCCATATCATTCATTTAATCTACCTGATATTTATGTTCTAGTCGTGTGTAGTGTTTGCATTTGTTAGACTTCCTATAATCCTTGATTGTTAGAAATAAAGACATTATTATTTGAACCTATAGTAGTTTGTGTTTATTGTGCAACAAATGATTAATCACTCAGGTCAGAGTCACCCTCCTCTTGGTGACATTTGAATAAATTAACAATTTTGTTTGGTTGGTGATTAATAACTCTGCTGATAGCCATAGCCCAAGTTGGTGAAGATAACTGGATTTTAAAAAGCCCGTCCAGAAGTCCGCCTGGGATGTGATGGGCAAAGAATCCTGGTGAGTAATTACAGATTACAGTTATAATCATTCAACTAATAACATTCAATTGGTTTTACCCTTGATTTTGAATGATTTATTAATTAACTACAACATCCAGCTCTAGTTAATCATATATTCATAATCTACTGGTAAAATATCAAAGTAATGATGTTAAACTCTAAAAGGTTCAAGGGAATTAAATGCTTTAGCAAGGCCTTGTACATTACTGGATGAGGGATTTTTGTTTAAAAATAAGAGGAATCACTTGTTAACATAAATGTGTTTATTTGACAATTATTTAACAAACCAAAATAAACAAAAATGAATGGCTGCATTGGTCATGTTAATCACACAATTATAGTTAAACACTTTACAAAAAATAAATAGCTTAGAAAGCTGTAATAATACATAAGCACTGTCCTTCACTGAAGGGATATAAGCCTAATAATCAAATGTTCTTATATTATACTGTAAGTTAACAACAGGAATGAATACAGCAAATATACATACTAGAGTTGTGACTGTTTCTATATGACACATTAACAAGTAACCGCAATCGGAAAATATATATAAAATTAGCACAACAGTTTCTTATCAACAAAATAATATATCTACCGTATTAATAAACCTAAAAAAACAGAAAGAAGCTGACACAAAAAAATCTGTTGCAATAAATACACCACTGCTCAAACTACAGGACAAAGGATGGTTTACACTAAATATTCAAAATAAAAATAAAGAAATAGTCATTTTGAAATTCAAATAAAACAAATAATTTCTTTTGTGAACTTGACCTATGTGGGTTTGTTAAGAGTAAAACAAAATGTGTATATATATAAAAAAAAAGATCACAGACATAGTCCACTTAGTGACATTTATGGGGAAAAACATTTCTGCATGTATTGAGGTGTTTTTTCTTTGTTTTAATATTGCAGACTGGGTTTTTGTTATGCAGCTCTTCTAACCTTTAGAACTAAACAGACAACAAGCTCTGTTGGTCCATCTCACTGCCATTTAGGACCCTTACAGGTTTTTTTATGATTTTGTATAAATCATATTTTATTTTTTAACTTTTTTAAAGTTATTTTAAGTTTTAAATAAAGTTTGCTGTAAGGAACTCTATTGATATGAGTCCATTAAACAATATCTACCAGCAAACTATTTGTTTAATGGTTGACCAGAGTAAGTTGGCCTAAATGGGAATAAAAATCCAAAATATGAAAGAAATCGGGGTCAGATCCATCTATCGTTAAATTACATCTAGTTCAAACTAAATTTGAACAATTTTTAATTTTGGATGTGGTGATTTAATTGCAGGGGTGTAAAATGAATAGCCTGGGTGCCATTCCGAATTTAGTCCCGCCCACAACGTTTGAGGTCGGGAAGTTCGGTCTGGCATTGCTCAACAGTAGCGCGAGTATGCTACCACAATATCTAGCGGGCCAATCAAATTGTCAGGGCGAGCTTTATAAGATGATGGACAGATGATCAACAGTAACGTAATCAACCACGTCACCAAAGCGCGCTTGGGTGACAACAACAATGGCTGCCGCTGGAGAGTCGAGGTGTGTAGCTTCTGTTATTAGGTCTGTTCTAGAAGATATCGACAGCAAATTAATTTTAAAAGAGGAACAGAGAAACGCGATCAAGGCTCATCTTCTTATTCTAGGCGTGCAACTGCACGCTTTGATTTTTGTTGACAACAACTATGCGTGGCTTAACATACGTCACGCACTCCGTTGCTCTTATTGGTTGTAGGTCTATCCAATTGAGTGCAGAGGCATTTTTTTTCCTGGTTCGTTTGACACACGCCCCATAATCACAGCTCTATGGAGCAGCATCAGACTCATTCTGACTAGAATTGAGTAGGACTATGTCAGGCTATAAAATGAAAGCGGGGAGGGATTAAATGCTAATGCATGGTTCTATAGCTAAGCTAACCCTAAACCAATTGGGAAACAGAGCTGTTTTAAATACATCCCATCAGCATGAAAAAAAAATAAAAAATCCAAACATCTTCCGTAGAATTAAAAACATCATGCCTCAATTCCTCGTACCTACTCGCTAAGGAGGCAAATGACGCCAAAGCTCTCAAAAAACAGAAGGACAGCTGGGGGCAAATCTTCTGTGTTTGACGACAAATGGTACCAAACATTTTCATCTTTTATTTTTAAATATTACTAAAGGGAAACCACAAAGCAACTAGCAATTAAACTTCTCTTCGTCACATGTACATCCTGAGGTAGATTTTCATTGTTTAGAACTTTTATAGTGGTTGTCAAATGTCAACAAAAGACAACTTCTGTATAGATAAAGTCGTTGATGTCACCGAATGCAACTATCTGCTAACATGGACAGAATATAAGATGGCTCCAGGGATAGAGAGGTTCACACGTCCATCCAACCCCCCCTTCAGTTACAGATACCTCACCCACAGTGCAGGTTCACCAGAGCTTATAGATCCTAGGAAATAAAACGAACCTAAGGTGCATTTAGATGGTAGTTGCTTTGCATTTTTAGGTGAAAGCTGAAGACTTTTCTCTAGAAGTTAAATTTGCATTTCTTGTTGGTTAAGATTGCATCTGTAGCTGTTTGTGCCTAAATGTCTGCTCCTGGTGCTCCCATTCACTGTTTCCTCCTGGGCTTGTATGTGCACTTCGACCAAAAAAAGGACAGTTGACTGAAATCATGTTCTTCATAAGCAGTCAAAGTTGTTACATTCGCCCGAGACTGGCTCCGGTGATTTATTTGGATCACACTTCCCTGCTTCTACAGTCTTCCCAGTGTAGTCGATGCAGAACACACTGCGGCGGCGCTCTCCATGGCCACAAGTTCGTGAGCAGGCAGACCAAGGACCCATCTGCCAAATGGGGCACGGTAGATCCCCGCAAGGCCGGATGTCTGTGGGCTTCAGCTCTTTGTCACACTGGCTGGAGAAGAAGCCGTCACTGTCTTTGCATTCAACGGTCCTTCTGGACCACCCGGAGCCGCAGCTCTTGGAGCACTCGGACCACTCTCCAAGCACCCAGTCAGGAGCATCACTGATCATATGCAAAGACAAGTAGGAGCCCTTCTTTTCTTTAGATTTGTTAAAGATCACGTCCTTGGGGATGAAAAAGGTATATTTGATCTTAGGAGGATTGACATCCCCACCTGTGGCCAGGACCTGGATGGTTATGGCTTCCTTCAGCTGCCTGAAGCTCTGGATCCTTTCTAATGTAGTGGAGGAGCCGCTGTACTTCAACACTGCTCCAAGTACGGGAATGTCCTGTTCCACTGTGGATACAGAGAAGTTACCGTTGAGGATATAAGCGCCGTTTTCTCTTTTCACAGCGAGGTAGTTCCCGTCATGCTTGATTCCTCGATGGCTCCTCTGCTTGATGTCAATGTTGGTAGCACCAACAGGAATCGTGACAATGTCACTGTAGCCATAGCTGGAAAAGAAAAAGTATTTAGATAACACTCAAACTAGATTTTATGTCTCAACAAAGTGCAGAAACAAAATAATGAAGGCTACTAAATTCTTACAGAACCCTAATTACTACCTGGAAAAGCTACGTAGAATCATCTATAATAGCAGTCTTTAAAGTCGTAGGGAAGCGGCTGTTCCAAACGTTGCATTTCTGAATTCTCCCAAGTGGTGCACGACTTTACACGAGTGAATAAAGTGAATGTGATTGGTCGTTTATCAAGGGGGCGGGATTATTGTGGCGGAAGGTTCGCAAGCTCTTTGGTTGTGGCCGGTTTGTGGGAAGCATCTTGCTAACCAGTTAGCAACTTAGTGCTAGTAGGTTCCCAATGGGAAATTCCATTGGGACCAAGTAGTACTAAATCGGTGACTTAGAAACGACACTGTCAAGGAATGCTATGGACAGCGGAAACATGCAAGAGGAGGAGAGTTTAGTGTCGGAGGTCGTGGATGAGTCTCCTCCGTCATCCATTTTTTATTTAGAGGAGGAAAGCGGGGACGAAGATGTTGTGGAAGAGGACGCCAGGGCGGCAGAAGCTTGGTTTGGTGTAGAAGGCTTCCAGCCGTACATGTTTGAGCCCTTGCCTCGCAACGCTGCCAGTTCTGTTAGCTCTACGCCTGCCGAAGACACAGACGTCCATCCCCGTGAACACTGGGACACAACTCAATGGGAAAGGAAAGGATTCTGATTTCAACCGTTGCGTATATTAGCTGCGACATATGAATCAAGATGCTATGACTTAAAAAATTTGGCTGACAGATGACCGTTGATATATGATTGGCCGAATTTAGGTGTTCAGGCTGACGTAGAACTAACTGGCCTGCAGAAGATAACGGAAAAAACCCCCAGATTTTAAGACAGGATTTTTTTTAAAACATAAATTTTGTAACAATATGGTCTGATAAAGAATGCATTTAAATATATATGTTTAAGCCAGAATGATTTTATGTTTAAATATGATTTCCCTAAGACTTTAAATTTTATTTCTAAATGAAACAAACACAGTAAATAAACAACCACTATGCATTTTATCAACAACAAATCTCTGAAGGAAATAGCTGCTTCTATCGGTTCACAATCTCAGTACGAGTTTAACAGATTCAGGTGGTTTGTGATTTTACTTTTAGTGAAGGTAGATTTAATGTGACGGTAAGCAGCTGTAGTCTTACATTGCTTTGTTGTAGGAGCCTGTTATCTTTCTGCAGTTGAGCCCATTTCCTCCACACTCTCCACACTTATCCACCCTCTTGTTAGATCCGATCACCTGGTCGCAGCCTGCTTTCACACACTGGCCCTGAACGCACACTGATGTGGTGTCGGGGCCGCAGGTTGTCCCGTCAATCACCTGCTGGGACACGTTAACCAGTTGCATAGGTATCATCATTATAGTTGTAACTAGAAAATTTCTAAAGAAATTTTGAGGGGGGCCACCTACTGCCCGTCTGGGTAACTGGGCCAATACGGCCCTGGCAAGTGACATTGGGGCTCCCCAGACCAACTGCTTACGCCTTTGAGGGCTGCTGAGGGAAGGAAAGAGGGCTAGGTCATGGGCAAAGAGAGCTGTGTGCCACTTGTGCTGAAATCTGGGGAATAGACGTGCACAGCATATGATGCACAAGGGTAATATGGGTTGTCCATATTGAACCGCAGTGGGTAAAGCGCAGTTGGCGGGCTCCGCCCGCCTGCTAGGAGCCCTTGCAGCGATGAAAAAAATCACCAATGGCGGGCTCCGCCCGCCTGCTAAGAGCCATTGCAGTGATAAAATCACCTTTAGCGGGCTTCGCCTGCCTTCTAAGAGCCATTGCAGTGATGAAATCACCAATGGCGGGCTCCGCCCGCATGCTCAGAGCCATTGCAGTGATGAAATTACAAATGGCTATGAGCAATATGCCAGAATGTATGAGTGTGTATAAGGAAGAGGCTTTTATTCTGTAGAGTCCCTGTAGTGTTATTTTGAAAGTCTATCATGGATGTGCATCAAAAGATGGGTCATGCCCAGCAGTGATATAGAATCCATTTCCACATGTTAAATCACTGGTTTTCCATGTTATTAGGTGAATAGCTGCTGTATTACAGAGTAAATGGGAGACTTTTATTGTGAAATTTGCTCTGGGGTGTGTTTTGAAAAGGTCACTAGAGTCTAATAAAAACAACCTGGAAGAGTTTGGGTCATAATGTTGAGCCATTTGCATCAATTATTGCATTAGTATAATCTAGAGGCTTTTATTTTGTAGGGTTCCCTGGAGTCTTATTTTGAAAGTCCAACACAGTTGTGTTTAGAGAAAATGTTAAGACCCAGCAATGATAGTTGATGACTTTCCAGTCGTTAAATCACTCTTTTTCTATGTTATTAGGGCAGTAGATGAAGCGGAAAGGGAGGCTTTCTCCTAGAGTCTAGTCTCCTAGAGTCTATTCTCTAAAATGGGGTTGAGTTTGGGTCATAATGTTGAGCCATATAGGGCAATAAATATATGTAAAAAATATAGAGGCTTTTATTTTGTAGGGTCCCTGGAGTCTTATTTTGAAAGTCTATCAGTGTTGAGTGGCAAGGGAAGTGTCATGGACAGCAGTCATATAGTATCCATTTCCCAATGTTAAATCAGTGCTTTCACCCTCCATTAGATTAATATGTGCTGTTTAAAACAGCAGAGGTAAAATCTCTTTGAAGCACGGTTACCTTAACAACGCTTAACGAGCCTGTCTGTGACTGAGAGAAAAGCGCAGCACTATCGTTCCTTCGCTCTCAGGCTTTTTTGAATGGGAGGAACAGCTCCGAACAAACGACTGCTGAGCAAAAACCGTATGAGTTATTCAAAAAATGTCTTCACCGTGAGCATCAGCAATCCTTCGACTCCAACTATGCCAACTTTGGTGTATGTGTGTCATTCAGAACAATATTTATGACGAGTTTAAAACACATAATGTCATTCGTTTTTCTCCCCTCTTCTGCTCCAAAACCAATGGAAAAATGCTCTGATTCTCATCGACTGTAGATCGGTCTGGAGGGTTTTTAAGGAAAAGTATTAATCCTACCGTAATTCCGAAGACATTGTGTTAGTCCAGAGGTTTCAGCCTACAAACTGACCAAAAATGGTGACTGTAGCTCCAAATATGTGGCCGTGAGGCAAGAACAAAATGTTTTATCTTAAAATAACGGCCGCCTCACACTAAGATGTCAGCAGCTGCACTGAGGCAGGCTGCTGCAGAAGCTAACTGCCAGCTAGCTTCCAGGTGCTCCCCCTCCAAACAAAAGACTGCTGAGCAAAAACCGTAAAAGGTATTTGAAAAATTCTTTCAGTGAAAGTAATATCTATCCTTTGTCTCCGACTGGGGTAACTTTCATGTCTGTAGGTCTTTCACAACCCAAAACGAAGCACAAACAAAATGGCTGATCCCACCTGCTCCTCCCTTTGTTTTAACTGCAGGACCTCACTCTCACTCACCTTTAAGCTACTAAAGCACCCCTCCAAACAAACGACTGCTGAGTAAAAACCATAAATGATATCAGAAAAATTATTTTTATCTAAGCGACAGCTATATCTTGTCTTCAATTGGAGTAACTTTCATGGCTGTAGGTCATCTACAACCTGAATGGGAAGAGAAAGAATAAGAAAAAACGGGTCCTCAGTCCTTAGCTTCTAACTGAGCTAGCTGCAGCAGCTAACTGTCCCCTAGCTTTAAGGTGCTTAGAACACCCTCCGAACAAACGACTGCTGGGCAAAAACCGTATGAGTTATTCAAAAAATCTCTTCACCGTGAGCGTCAGCCATCCTTCGACTCCAACTATGCCAACTTTGGTGTATGTGTGTCATTCAGAACAATATTTATGACGAGTTTAAAACACATGATGTAATTAGGGGGGCCACATGCCGAAGGCATGGCCCACCTATTACTATTGCACATATTTATTCCGCGTATTATTATTATAGCTTATAGTTCTCCTCGTCCCCTAAAAACTTCGGCGCGTAACTAGTCACGCACCATTCGTCGGATCGGGCCCAAAGTTGGCACACGCGTAGGGACCAATGGTGCGATGCGTGCTTGTATAAAACTTTCTCATTAGTCCGAAGGTTCGCGAATTATTAGTGAAAACGTCGCAAAAAAAATCCCATAGGAAATGAATGGGGAGAGGAAAAAAAAGCATAAAAAACAGCACCTCACTGTGTCGGCATACATTCATGTAGAAAAACAGTTTAAAGCTCAGTTTGTAGATAAATCCTTTGTCTATTTAAAACTGAAGACGGTATGTTGATAACTGCTACGGTTTTTGTATAATCAGACCTCAAGCGCCACAAAGTTTTAGCAAAATCCACCCTTCTAGAGTGGAGAGACTGAAAAGCTAGAGTGTGAGGCAGCCGTTTTTTTAAGACCAAAAAACATTTTAAAATCGCCCTCACGGCCACATATTTATAGCTAGAGTCACCATTTTTGGTCAGTTTGTAGGCTGAAACCTCTGGACTCACACAATGTCTTCAGAATTACGGTAGGATTAATACTTTTCCTTAAAAACGCTCCAGACCGACCTAAAGTCGATGAAAATCAGAGCCGTTTTTCATTGGTTTTGGAGCAGCAGTGGGGAGAAAAACGAATGACATTATATGTTTTCAACTCGTCATAAATATTTTTCTGAAAGACACACATACACCAAAGTTGGCATAGTTGGAGTCGAAGGATGGCTGACGCTCACGGTGAAAGAATTTTTTGAATAACTCATACGGTTTTTGCTCAGCAGTCGTTTGTTCGGAGGACATTTTAAGCACCAGAAAGCTGGGTGAGAGGGACCTGCTGCAGCTAGCCCAATTAAAAGATCAGGTGTGAGAAAACGTTTTTTCTTTTTCTTTCTCTTCCCATTCAGGTTGTAAATGACCTACAGCCATGAAAGTTACTCCAATTGAAGACAAGATATAGCTGTAGCTTAGATAAAAATAATTTTTCAGATACCTTTTACGGTTTTTACTCGGCAGTCGTTTGTTCGGAGGGGTGCTTTAGCAGCTTAAAGGTGAGTGAGAGTGTGATGCTGCAGTTAAAACAAAGGGAGGAGCAGGTGGGATTAGCCATTTTGTTTGTGCTTCGTTTTGGGTTGTGAAAGACCTACAGACATGAAAGTTACCCCAGTCTGAGACAAAGGATAGATGTTGCTTTCACTGAAAGAATTTCTCAAATACCTTTTACGGTTTTTTCTCAGCAGTCGTTTGTTTGGAGGGTAAGAACCTGGAAGCTAGCTGACAGTTAGCTTCTGCAGCAGCCTGCTGCAGTGAAGCAGGCTGTCGTTTTTTTAAGATAAAACATTTTGTTCTTGCCTCACGGCCACATATTTGGAGCTACAGTCACCATTTTTGGTCAGTTTGTAGGCTGAAACCTCTGGACCCACACAATGTCTTCAGAATTACGGTAGGATTAATACTTTTCCTTAAAAACCCTCCAGACCGACCTAAAGTCGATGAAAATCAGAGCATTTTTCCATTGGTTTTGGAGCAGCAGTGGGGAGAAAAACGAATGACATTATGTGTTTTAAACTCGTCATAAATATTGTTCTGAATGACACACATACACCAAAGTTGGCATAGTTGGAGTCGAAGGATGGCTGACGGTCACGGTGAAGAAATTTTTTGAATAACTCATACGATTTTTGCTCAGCAGTCGTTTGTTCGGAGCTGTTGCTCCCATTCAAAAAAGCCTGAGAGCTAAGGAACGATAGTGCTGCGCTTTTCTCTCTGTCACTGACAGGCTCGTTAAGCGTTGTCAAGGTAACCGTGCTTCAAAGAGATTTTACCTCTGCTGTTTTAAACAGCACATATTAATCTAATGGAGGGTGAAAGCACTGATTTAACATTGGGAAATGGATACTATATGACTGCTGTCCATGACACTTCCCTTGCCACTCAACACTGATAGACTTTCAAAATAAGACTCCAGGGACCCTACAAAATAAAAGCCTCTATATTTTTTACATATATTTATTGCCCTATATGGCTCAACATTATGACCCAAACTCAACCCCATTTTAGAGAATAGACTCTAGGAGACTGTTTAAAACACACCCTAAGGCAAATTTCAAAATAAAAGCCTCCCATTTCATCTTCATCTACTGCCCTAATAACATGGAAAAAAGAGTGATTTAACGATTGGAATTGTCATCAACTATCATTGCTGGGTCTGAACATTTTCTCTAAACACAACTCTGTTGGACTTTCAAAATAAGACTCCAGGGACCCTACAAAATAAAAGCCTCTATATTTTTTACATATATTTATTGCCCTATATGGCTCAACATTATGACCCAAACTCAACCCCATTTTAGAGAATAGACTCTAGGAGACTGTTTAAAACACACCCTAAGGCAAATTT